TGTTTATACAGAGGATTTTTCTTCCATTAAATAAATTTACACTTTTCGTTCGTTTTGATTACGTTGAGTTCCAGATCGGCCTCGAAATATTGCTGAATACTTCATGAATTTCAGTGTTTTAACCCTAGAGGGCTACAATCTTGGGCCGAGGCAACACAAAAACAGAACAGCTTACTCTCGAAGCGTGGTTCTCCGATGCCAACTCTATCAACAGGCATCTGGACCTTCCTGCAGCTTACAAAGTCTTACGTCATCACAATAGTAGCGCTCAGGACCAAACAACCACACCTGACTTAAGAAGGCAGCACGGAGATAGCCCGACGCTGAGCTTACTCGGTGAGGAAGAACAAGAACCGCCAGACCGACCGCCCGACTAAAGTCCAATCAGCTCCCCTCGACGGAGTGGTGAATCATAAAGCGCACAGGCAAAAACGCCCGTCAACCATCTCCTGAGAGGCCGGCGCAGCAGGAGGAGAGGAAAAAAATCGATCAGCATGAGGCCGGCCAACACAACTTGCCACTTTAAACTAAATTTCTGATCGATTACGTGCAGTTTACGCTTTGACAATGAAGAGCCGACCCAGCTCTTTGAAACGTCAGCAGTTAAATAAACCTGTTCCGGAGAGCCAATTTTCTTCTAATAATCTTCCCGGATCTCTAAACTTTTCCAATCTGAACAAGTGTTTTAACCCCATCGTCGATAAAGACAGATGTTGAATTACCTGTATGTTAAGACTTTTAAAATAATATTATTCTTGAAGGCATTTACCGAGTAAGTGAGTGTTCAGGCGCTTCTTTTAACGAAGATGGTCGTTTGGGTCACATGTGAAGCCTCATTAAAACATCAAACTTCATTTTCGAAAAGAGTGGCTAACCACAACGACAGTCAGCAACGAATATGCCTTCGAACAATATGAAAACTTTCCTTAATACGTTACCTCTATAATAGGTGTTTTATTTCTGCACGCCGTTGACGGATCACTGTGTACTTTGCATTTTTGCATGTCGAGTCCAAGTAAAAATTTGTCAGTTTTGGTAAAACTGTCAGAACGGCAACTTAACGTAATTACTAATGGACTATACGATAGACATTTTGGGAAACTCGAACGTCAGACTTTGTTACTTGAACAGTTATCGAAAAAGACCAGGCGTTTCAAAATACGCTTACGTGAACGACCGAAAGACTGTTACTTCAAGGCGATTAGTAAAAGACGTCCGGATCTGGCAAGACGGCATGTGATAGCCAAGCGTAACCCTAAACCCAAACTATTTTCCTAACCATTCACTGCAAAGTTGCCTTAGACTTAACTATGAATACAGTCATTGTTTCCAACGTAACCGGAAACGTAACCCAAATATGACATGTCCATCCAAAGAAAATAAGGAGGGATGCCATAGCAACAAAAACCAAGTCTTACACATTTCAGGTTTCTGTCTTTTATGGCTAACTTCAGGCTCCACGAGTTCCTTTGATGAAGGCTGAGAGATAGAAGATGTAAATAGGCGTCCTATCAACCCAGTTTTATCTTGCCTTCGTCCCCATGTACCGGGCATGCGATCTTAGTTGACTAGACAGTCATGATATACACGACAGTTGATAAGGTCTTATATAAACATGGATAGTAAATGAATCTTGCGTTGCGTGGTTTAGTGGCGAATGGGTGTATTATGTGGTGTATTATGTGTGTTACAGATGCGGCAATATGCTTGACGTCTTCAACTCGCGAATTGCAACTTTTAGACTTTATGAACACGGGGGGATGTCAGCTAGATAGTGAAGTCTGGTGCTCGGAGATTCTTAAACTATCACGCTCGTGTTTTGTGTATAGTCAAGGAGGCGTACATTCCATCATTAAATCGCATTCTCACTGCAAATTACTGGAATGAGAATGTAACATATGGCCTACGTCATTCAGGCCCGTTCGTGCAACTTAATTAATCCTGGTCGTCACAGCATTTGCCATCATACGTTTCTGGAATAAAGTCTCGCTATATCATTAAGCCGAAGATAACTCGCAAAATAATCTATGACGAATGCGCTTGTTCATAGATGTTTTGTCAGACTTTGAAAAAATATATTAACTCAAATGTGAAAAATACGGCGCCTCGGTGGGATTTGAACCCACACAGTAAGGGGAAGGCTTCTTCTTACTGCGTGGGTGCGAATCCCACCGAGGCGACGAGTTTTCGACAGTTAAGTCAATAGCAACAACTCAAAATCTGCCCAAAAATATATGAATTACGTAAGCCTGGTATTCCTTTGGGGGATTATAAGTGAATTACTTAGGAAATCCTGCTTGGGCAGTCAACTTGTGGTGAGGTACCTGACTAATTGACCTTTGACAACTTGGTCCCTTTTTCTTTGACCGCATTGCTTGTTTGAATGTGACGTAAAACGACACACCTGCACAACCCGCCTTGCTAGCGTGCTCTGCTGTGGTATTCTGTTGTCAGTTTTCTTAACGTTCTAAAACCTCTATATTATTCACTGCTCCGATTTACTTGCTGCATTTAAGGCTAGGGCTAGTGAGATATAACTGGTTAGTTCGTGGGAACATTACAATTTACAACATTGGGGACTCCCGACGTTTACGCAGACTTTATACCTTTCTGTCATACTGGATAACATTTAACGTACTATTTGCTGGCGAATATCTATTCCATTAACATTTATTTTCCTCACGAATTCTGATATTATGTCTCACGCCGATCAACAACTTGATGCCCCCGCCCAGTCCCTTCATGCAATCAATTTTACCTTGCCTGAATTCTGGCAACACGCTCCAGAACTTTACTTCATCCGCATAGAATCAGCCTTTTATTCTGCCAACGTTACCAAGGAGCTAGCAAAATACCGCAAACTTGTGGAGGTTCTCCCTGCCAATATTATCTCACAAGTTCAACCCTTGCTAGTGAAAC